AATAGCAAGAGTGATTACAATAGTTCCTATTGCATTACATGCATAGGAACTAAAAAATGAAGCATATTTGCAAAGTTAGTAGGTGTTAGTGGTCAAGATTCCACACACAAACCTTGGATATTCATATTTTTAGCACATCTGGATAAAAGGTCATAGCTTGCACTTTAAAGCAGTGTCTTTGAAATTTAAGAATTTAAAGTTTTGAACACAAATAAAATAATTACAAAATTGAGAATTGACATTTTGGGCCTTAATCGCGACGTGGTATATTTCTTTGTATCTTATTTATATGTGAATTATCGTTAAATAAAGGCTTGAGATTTTGAGGGACTTGTGTGCGAGAGCTTAAGATAGGGTCCGAAACAGTGGAAGTCTGAAAGTATTAGTCACATGCCAGATGTGTGAGATTTGGTAGATAAGCAGAAGGAAAATCATCATTATTATTACCAATGTAAGGTCCAGCTGTTGCTCTTGAATCAACGGCAACTATGACGCCATGTTGAAATTTGAATGCCAGTGTTGTTGTACCATGAAGGAATCGAATCTTAACTCCATCGTCATTCTTTTCTAAAGACTGTAGATAGTCTTGAGGCTGGAAAAAGTAATTATTTAAATTATTTACATAGAAATATTAAATAAGTCAATCACAAAAGTTCTAACTCTTCTGATTCAATAGGGTCTCCTGAGTTTACATGCAATCTCTAAATCTACTAAATTTTGTGAAATTCTCCCAAATTTTCAGAAAACAACCCCTAATTTAGTGGCTTTTTGGTTCTAGTTATTGAGTATTTCTGTGTCAACATTTCCTGTGTGGAAATATTGACACAGAAAGTACGTTGGAAAATATAGGACTTTACTTTTATAACACTTTTTAATTTACAGACAGGATTCCTGAACGTGGTTTTCTTTTTATGAAATAAAAATCATCACTTCTAATTTGTGGTTCTATGTACATACACACATAACAAGAGTACTGTAAATACTTTTTTCCAACAAGAGTAATACTATACAAATATTACTTACATTACTGTATTTAAATACCGAATTAATATCCATTGATAAGTTGACATTTACAAGAATAAGTAGGCCCTTTAGAAAGTCACATTATTCCGCTATTAAAACTGGCCTATGATTTTATATGAAAAATACACAAGTTAAAAAAATCAGTTTGCAAATTGTGCAAAGAAATCCTTGCACAGTTTGCAAATTGTGCAAGTAATAGCTTGCCCATTTTTCAAATTGTGCAAAGGTCTCAAATTGTGCATGACACAAATACAAATTTACTCAGGCCTAGCCTCTCTAGGCAATACAGTAAATAAAGGATAAATAAATGTTAACTTTTCAATATATCATGGAAACAAATTTAGCTCTATGGATGGCAGAGAGTCTAGGCAGGAACTGAGATGATGGAAACATTAAATTCTCGGAGCCTAAATGCCTAGATAAGATAGGTCTAAGGCCGGCCTACCACTGCCTGCCCAGTATTAAGTTTAAGAGGCCTAGGGCCTAGCTAAGATAGAAGAAGTGCTGTGCAGTGCCATTATTTTTCAACCAATTCTTACCGACTCAACAGCAGGCACTAGAAAGTTACAATCATTCGCCAAACTTTCATTAGCAAAGATATTTTTAAAATTCTGCGAAGGTGGAAGAACTGATTCAAGTGCCATCTTAAAAATGTGAATTCAAACTTAGTCTCTACGAATCAAGCCTAGGCCTAGGCTATGAATTCAATCGATCTGGCCGAGGGACAGGAACGTGCTCTGGCGGGGTGTTGCAGCGTGAGTTAGCATTTAACGTCTCCCTCTCGCGTTGCAACACAGAAAGGAGATTAGACCTATTGTTCCAGACGTTATTTGATACTTCATACGATTGTGATTGTCCCTTGAAAATGACAAATCATAAAAAATAATTTTGAAATTAACTTGCTAATTTTTGCAGTAATATACAAATTATTTACTTGAGCATAGAAAAAGTTCGGTTTACCATGAAATTCGGTTTTCTCGGTGTATATATTCGGAGATTCCACTTTACTGAGGCCTATATAAGATTCACAATTCTATTTCCTGGCCTTGAACATAGAAAAAAACAAAACAAAACAAAAACAAAGTTGATCAAACGTTGCACACAAGCTGCAAAACACTTTGAGCGAAAGTGCTGAATTTTCCTGCGATTCTGAATTACCGATTCTGAAATCCTCCCATCCCATTCCATTTCATTCCCTCTCCTCATCCATTCCTCCCAATTTTATCCTTTCCCCATCCCATCCCATTTCCCATTAAAGTCCATTTCATTCTGCACGACAATCCATTCCATTATATTTAAATTTCATTCCAAAACCAATTAGTGTTCTTATCCTATCAAACATGTATTTTTAATAATTATTTGGTTATTCAATCTCGATCAGTCATAAAAACTCGCATATTCAATAGACATAAAATGAAATAGGTACGAGATGGTTAATAGAAAACCACATAGCGACAAAACGAAGTGAACTTTTCCGAAGTGTCATACTTAGCAACAGACAGAACAAGGCCAGAAACACGCACACGTCCTACACGTACTGTATGGCGCAAACATACGTGTTTATAGGTACGTTTACGCAATTTTGTGGAAACTTGGCAGCATAATTTTCCAAGGGCCGGGCTTAGTGAAAGGCTAATTCAAGGCTCGAAACAGAAACTACGGTTTCTTTCATGTCATTATTTATAAAAAGCATCTTTTCTGAGAATTCGTCAATCGTCAATTTCTGAATAGAAGAGGGCGTATCGCATTGACATCTACTATTATATTTGCCATGCATAGACAGATAGTGCTGTCTAATACGCGTCCGCATGAGTGTGAAAGATGAGATGCTTTAAACGAATTTGAATTCCCAGCAAAGCCTCAATGGCCTAGTTGGTTAAGGTGTCTGCATAGACAGTAGAAAGTCCCGGGTTCGAATCCCGGTTGAGGCACTATTTATATACAGTATATTTACAGCTCACCGCAAGACGGTTTAGAGTGTATAGGCCTATACACAATAATATATATTGTGTTGTATTAGTTCTTACATTTATTTCAAAATAAAAAAAAGACAAACAAAACTCATTTATGCCTATCATTTCCATTGAAAATTGTATTTCATTTATTGGCGTATATCTTTTCACTAAACTATTGCGACAATAGCTACGATAGGCCATATATATGTTTTATACTTTTTTAAAGGTAAATAAACTTTAAAGATAAATTAAGCATGCGTCGAGTTCACCGTTATTAAGTATCAATATAAACTTTACAATAGGGCCTACATTTATTCCGGTAAACTAACATTGTTGGAGTACAAATTATCCTAAGAGCCTACTACGGCGATAGTTTGAATTTTTAACTCATTGTCTTCCTTCAGCTCAACATGCATCATTGGGTGATTGAGAAATTCATTTGACGTCATAATCTTTGTATTGTCTTTCACATCACTTGCAACCAAACAGATGTCGAAGCTGTAATTCTCAATCAACTTGTTATTTTTTAATGTAAGCTTAGTCTTCTCGTCGTTAACATCATCCATCTGAAACGTAAAGATGAAGGGTTTAAAAAAAAAAATAACATGCGATTTTTCATTGAACTCATAATTTTCCTCACACACTCTAGGTAATTGTACGTTCCGCACACACTGCAAACAACAATAATCGTGACCAGGAGAGTGCACTTAAAAGATTGGCGGGTAAGTACCGGTAGTCCTACATAAAATAGATATTCTAAAAAAAACTAACAAATGCCTTACGTAAATCAGGACTGCACCAGTATCTTTCCCACAGACTACGCCCCCACGAGGTTGACACGATCCACATTGCACGATTGAATTGTCCGTCAAAGTTACCGAACATCCTTGATTAATAACTAAACCTGCTTTCTAAAAAGAGAGTCCAAATCACAAAAGAAAATTAATGAAAATCTGAATGTAATTGTGCCAAAAAAGCGACGCGTGTAACGCGCATTCACTCATTCCCCCTTCTCACGCACTTCTGGCACTGAGCGTGTTATTTTTGTTCCATGCTCATCCAACTGCGAGTGCACGTCAAGTCCCGCGCAGTCGCGTAATGCCTATGCGCTCTGTGCGGCGGTCCGCATGGCCCCGACCCCTAGGGGCCATGGTCCTCATGATCCTCAATCTGGCACCCTGACTCAAAAGGGCTTTGTTGATACATAACAGCAATGTGTCTCTGACATCGACTGTATATCATATTATATCCAGTGGCGAATTAAAGGGGGCCCTTTACCTCAGCCCCAACCATGGTGGGGCTGAGGTGGTATTGACCCTTTGTCAGTGAAAGTCTCTCCCTGGGCCCTATTAAACATTCCTGGATCCACCACTCATATCATTGCATTTATTTTGTGATTAAAACATTTAGAATGCAATGACAAATATACTTTAAAAAAAAAACGAGCTCATCTACAATCCCACAATGGAATTGGCGACCGGGACCTAAAAAATCTCCCTCTCTCAGAAAGCCACAGGGCCCCCGGCTACATCATCACGCCACTTGTCCCGCCCCTTATAGGGCCTATTGTTACAATATCCCACAAAACGAATGTTTTCTGACTATACATGTTGTAACGAAGTTGATGTCATTAATAATAATTATTGGTCTTACAATATTTCAGAAAAACAATCTGGAGAAATCCTTACACTCGCTCCTTGAATACTGCAATTTCTAACGACAAGGGAACACTGTCCATGTGCTAGAATTCCCACACTGCCACCCTGGAACATGCACTTCCTTACTTCACAATTCCCCCTCTTAACCCGAAGCACGGGGTCGGAACTGGAGTGAGAGTCGCACGTAAACATGACGTTGTCGATGACAAACTCATATGACGAGATTTCTACCGGGATGTCGTCTGTATCGATGATCACGTCACCCTGTTCCCCAACACCTGAGACAGAACGAAAATGAAACATAAGACAATGTAACTACCACGTTATTAAATAATAAACAAAAAATCGATTAACTACTGTAATTAATTCAATGAACTAAGTTAAAAATAATGACAAATAAAAAGGTCGAAAACAATGTTTTATTAAAACTTACATACATTTTCATTATAACAGTTTAAATGAATTACCAGCCTATGTTGCTGTGGATATAGGACTAGGCAAACTCGTCTATGTAGGCCTGTAAATGAAGGGCGCATTTGTTTGTTCAATTCACTTTAATATCACGCAATTCAGATCTCAGAGCGCGTACCTTTTATGGTGATGGACTGCTGCATGTTGCCAAGACGCCATGAGGAGTAAGTACTGGGATACAGCAGAACGTCATCGCCATCAAAAGTAATCTGCAAAGCATCATCTAAGGATTTGTGATGCATCACTTCAGTATCACTCGCCAAGTTCTATATTACCGACATTAAAGGAATTCGTTTAGATCAAAAGAATGTGAAAATAATCTGCTGGTATTGCAAAAACATCGCAACAGTTCATCAATCACATTCATAAGTCACATTTATTGGCCAATCAAAACATTTACAAAAATATGATCGTAGAAAAATTCGTAATTTCAAATCTTCAAATCAATCAAATTAAATCGAATTCATTTCACTTGCAACATAACATGAATAAAATAATACGTTATTGGCAAGCACTCAACGGGATATAAGTGGTATTGTATCTTTATTTACCTGTACCATGAAAGCTTTCAACTTGTTACATACTATATGGGTCACGGTAGAGCCGTCGGGCCTCCGACCCCTTGCTTCACAACTAGGATACGTGCCGCTAGTTGAGTCAGTGCAGCCGAATAACTTTCTGCAACAATTAAATAGTAACCGATGATGACACATCTAATTTTACATGGTTCATAATTTCTGTCTCCATCTACCGAAACCGACTGCTCATTGAAAATTCAAAAGGATAACATAACAAATACATTTAGTTAGGTAACCACTATTCTATTTTGTTTAATTTTATTTCACTATGTATTTGAAAAAAAGGAGAGACGAGTACAATGACTTTCATAGCAGAATTAGAAGTGTTTTATATTAAAATTCACCTCAATACTGGTGTCTCCATTACTGATAGGGTCTTGGACAACTGAGCTAAATATTCGTATGAATTGGTCATTTGTAGCAAGTCCTTCTCACTCATCTCCTGGTCCGATAGATCACTGTCGTCTGGTAGAGCAAGGCGCTTGCGTACAAGTTCTCGATACACTGCCTGGTATTCTTGAATCACTTCAGTGTACTTCTTAGCATCCGCAGAAGTGGGATTCATTTTCATCTCATAGTATCTATATGAATGTTTTACTCCAATTCCATTGATGAAAAAGGCCAGCTTATTAAATATTTTGTTATTTTATAGCTGAAGCACTTCAACCCCATGGATATGTTTGAATACATCATTCAGTACTCATTGACTATGTAAAGTATATAAAGCCCTGAACAGAATCAACTTTTAATTGAAAAAAACATGTTACATGCCTAAATATGGTCATAATGACATCACGCCATGACCATATATAGACATGCATCATGACTATGGTATACAGTACAATAGCTTTTTTGTCCAAGGAGATTGTATAGTGTGGACAGAGCTTAACTTATACTTACAGCTTCAGTCTGGGTTGAAGGCTTCTTGTGACGTACACACAATCATCACAATCTTCTTCGTCAGTCACTCTCCAAATGTAATCATAGAAAAACCTAATGGGAAGAGATATATACAATATGTGATGTTACCAGGGGCGGATTTAGGTGGGGGAGAGACGGCCCGGCCCCCTCCCCTTTTGGGAGGTAAAAAAAAAAAGGGAAAAAAAATGATAGCCCAGAACGCTTCAAATGTTATTTTTGGGCGTCTAGAACACAAAAATTTCGCGGGGCATGCCCCCGGACCCCGTAGGACATTGTTGTCTCGATCGGCACAAATTTCGCCCCCCACCTCTTCGGCCCCTCCTTTTGGACATCTCTGGATCCGCCCTGGTTACTGAATGCCATAGTTGAAAATTATAATATAGGCAATGGAAAATCTAAAAAATAAAAGAACATAAGACAAAATCTAGGAGACCTGGCAGCATTGATCATATGCGTGTTATACAGAGATACACTTATTTTCGAAAGTTAACAGTGTTGAACAAAATGTTTAAAAAAATATTGATATTAAAATGATTAATAATGTTCAAGACAGGTCTATACCTCAATTCTTCAATTGCAAATGCCAGTTCTCGTAGTCCGTGGTCATCATTGTCGCTACAAACAGGATAAAGATCCAACAACAGTACATATCCACGAGTACGTTC